ATGTGGCTGGCGCCTTAGCCGCTTGAGCCACAGGCGCCGAGCCTTTATTCTTTTCTTAAAGAGCCCCCAAAGTCTAAACTTTCAGCCCCATGCAACCTGGGTCATGAGGACAGGAGGGGCCACTGGAAATAGCCTCCAGGTGGCAGGGCCCCTCTGGCTGCTGAGGGATGTGTTGACAGAGGGGCCCAGAGCCCAAGGACCAGGGGAGTCTCTTCCTGTCATCGCGGCAGAACTGACCCTGGCCTGGACCAGGCTGGGAGAAACGCAGGTCCATCCAAAATGGCTGGGAATGCCAGGCACGATGGCTCATGCCTGTAATCCAGCACTTGGGAGGCTGAGGCGGGTGGATAGCACGAGCTCACTGGTTCAAGACCAACCTGAGCAAGAGCGAGACCCTGTCTTTAAAAAATAGCCAGGCGTTGTGCTGGGCACCTGTTGTCCCAGCTACTAGGGAGGCTGAGGCAAGAGAATCACTTGAACCCAAGAATTTGAGGTTGCTGTGAGGTAAGATGCCACGGCACTCTACCGAGGGTGACCCAAGTGAGACTCTGTCTCAAAAAAAAAAAAAAATGGCTGGGAAGGTACAGCGGGCAGGACTTGTGGGCAGTTTTAGGACTCACTCACGGAAGGCGCTGGGTGTGCGGCTTGAGCAAGAGGGGTCAGTCTGGAGCCTCTCTGAAGGCGGGTGTGTGCAGGTTCAGAGGGGTCTGTGAGAAGAGGAAGCTATTTGTCTAAAGCTGAAGCCATGTGCCGGCACCCTGTCCTCCTGAGGCTGTGTCCTGCAGCGTCCTTCATCCCTGGTGCCGTGTTAGGAGGGGTTGAGACCCCTTGCCTCCTGGTGGTTGGAGGCGCCTTAGGAGCGCTCAGCGGGCCGGGACAGGGGTGGAGTGTGGAGGAGCGAGTGGCCAGGCCAAGAGCCCATGCCCAGGGCGCTGACCAGGGGCTGCCTCGGTGCGTCTATGCACATGCGCGTCTGCGGGGACTGGTGTCAGGTCCGCCTGAATTCGCAGTGCGGGGAGGGTTAGGCTTCAGCTGTTTCCCCCAAAAGAACAGAACAGGAGGGGGGCAGGGTTACACCCTCTCCTAGGATTGTCCTAGCGCCCTGTGTCCGGGGCGGGAGGCTGGGCCTCAGAGCTCTCAGGATCAGATTTCCGGATCTCCTGATGGTTCTTGGGCACCGCCACGAACCTCAGCTTCTTCAGGACGGGCGGCCAGCCCAGCAGCTGCTCGTCCCACAGATACTCCGGGGACAGCACCCTGGTGGGCTTGTGGTGCAGCAAGTACCAGTTCAGGTGGCTCTCGTCGTGCCACACCGCCTCGACGCCCTTGGCGCGGTCGGCCGTCATGGCCTGGTGGCAGGCCCTGGTGAGCCGCTGCACCTCCCGCGTCGACCCCCCAAAGAAGCCGCCTAAGTAGTAGAAGTCGCCCTCGTCCCGCGGGATGTAGGCCTGGGACTGCGGCCGGCGCTCGTAGGGAAAAGCCTCCCGGGGGCTCCGGTAGTAACCAGGATGGAGGGTGCCGAAGAGCGGCGACAGGATTTCTACGCCCACGTGGTCACGGAACCGCATGTCCACGTCCACGCACACCAGGTAGTCCACCTCGCCCAGGAAGCGGCGCTCGGCGAAGTCGGCGATCATCTGCATGCGGCGCATGGACACGTCCTGCCAGCGCGCGTAGGCGCGCACCTGCAGCACCTGCAGACGCCGGCCCGGGCCCAGCGCCACGCGCGGCACGGCGGCCGGCCGGTCGGTGAACACATAGTAGATGACCCGGTGTCCCACCATGAAGTGCTTCTCCGCCGTCTCCAGGAACAGCTTCAGGAAGACCACGTACCTGCCACAGAGAGTGCGACCACTCTGCGGGCGGGGACAAGCTCCCCCCGCCGCGGAGGGAGACTCAAAGCACTGCGCCCACTGCCCTGCCCTGAGCCGGGGCTGTACCTCTCTCCACCTCTCCTCTCCCGGGGCCGGACGGACTCGGCTCCCCTCTGAGGAAGGAGAGGCCAGGTTCAGGCGGCTGGAACACTCGCAGCGGCCCACGCCGCAGACCTGGAGCTGGACCCTGAGTTCTGGGGACCAACGACCCCCGTCGCCCCCCAACAGCTCCCTTCCTGCCGGCCCCTCACTGGGATGGGCTCTCCCCAACCCATGACCGGTCTCTACACCCGGCCGGCTCCCGCCCTGTGAGCTTGAGCGCGTTTTGTTGGCAAAGTGCTCAGTGAACGGCTGATATCGTGAGACCGGGTCCTTCCACTGACCGTCCACCGGATCTGGGATCCGTCTAGCACCGGGTGGGGGGTGGGGGGACGCAGAAAGAAAGGGAAGAGCTGCGAAGGCCACAACTTCACGTCCCGGCAGGTCCCTCCCCTCACTTGAGGAAGTTTTCTCCACCTGCCTCAACGGCCAGGCTGGCAATCCGTGTGCTCCCCACCATGGGGACAGGGGCTCCCCCACCTTCCAGAAAGTGTATTGTGCTCCCCAAGACCGGGGTGTGTAGAGCAGGCTCCGTGGCTGCCTGCCCCCGCTGGAATCCTCGCACACCTCTCCCCAGGGCAGTGCAGGAGTCATGGGTGGGGAGGGGACAGACACACCTAGAGTTTTCCAGCCGCCTGAACCTGGCCTCTCAGAGAGGATCCGGGTCTGTCTGGCGCTGGGAGAGAAGTGGAGGAAAGCACAGCCCCGGCTCAGGGTAGGGCAGGGGCAGAGAGAGCCCAGTGCGGGAGCTGGGTCCACCCACTGTGGTCTGCACCTGCAGCCCTGTGGCCCACTGTGTCCACTCGCTTCTGTCTGAGGTGGGGGATGGGATCATCCTGGTGCATAAAGGCTTTCTTCCGGCGTGTGTGTGTGTGTGTGTGTGTGTCTCTCACCATGGAGAGCAGGCACAATGGTGACAGAGAGCCCTGACAGAGTCCCCCAAGGGCACTCTCCAGTTTTTTCTCCCTAGGTACTGGAATAGGAATTCTCTGGCTATTCCTGGCTGAAGGAGGTGGCATTGCTCTCCCACATCTGAATCTGTAAAGGGGCTGCAAAGGCCCCAGGACCATGCTGTAGGCAGGACACTTGGGGAACATACTCACCAGCTCTGCATGCAGGTGCCACTTCCATCTGTGCCCCACGGTAGTCCTAGAGGCTGCCACTGTACTGGCCTGGCTCTCTACAGGCTCAAGAGGTCAAGCTGCATGCCTGTGCTCTCCCTGATAACTACCTGTGATGCTGGCCGGACCCTGAGTCCCCAGCCTCATGGTCCACTACCTCCTTGGGGGTCTGCCTATCCCTGAGCACCAAGGTGTGGCCACAGCTCTTCCAGAACCCTGCTTCTGCTCAGCCAAGGAGAGCAAACATGCTCCTGTCCCCACCCTCACTGGTCAGTGTATGGAACCATCTGGAGCCTTGTACTGAGTGAGCAGTGGCTGCCGCCCACTCAGCTGGAAGTATGGCCCAGGTAGAGTTAGGGGCAGAGGTCTGGGGCTCCCATTGTGGTGAGAGCAGAAGGGCTTTATTCACTTGGGCAGCTTGTAAGAGATCATTTAGGCCACTGAGTGAACAACCTTTAATATCTACCCTTTGGGAAGACAAGGCTGGTTCCCCCACCCCACCCCTGATGTCTCCATCACTCGCCTGCTTACTTTTTGATGGCAAATACAGTTAATCCGATGGTGA